TAATCCCTCATGACAACCTTTAAACATAGATATTATTTCTCCTTTTCAGATGGGAAAACAGGCTCAGAGATGCTCAGTATTTTGCCTGAGAGCGCCCAACCAGTACCCAGTGAGATTCTATCCCAGCTTACACCCCTTGCCCACCATGGCTGCTCCAGCTGGATACCCACATCCTCTTCTTGCCAGGGATGAACCTTGTTTGGGGAGTGGGGTTCCCAATCTCATCAAAGGGGGCTAGGCTTTCTAAAAAGGGCCTCTCACTGAAGGTGAGGCGGAGCCTCCACGAGGCAAAACTGCTGGGAAGTCTTCATCCCGCTTTGGTATAAATGAATCCCCAATTCTCCTGCTCTCGGCTCTCTGTGAGCTACTTTCCAATCTGCCCACATTTTTTTCATACTCCTCGTTTTAAGAGGTGGCGCCGAGTTCCTCCCTCTCTCTTTGAGTGAGGATTAGATCAAGCTCTGGCTTCCAATGGGTAGAATGTGGCAGAAGTGACAGTGATTTCTGAGGCCGGGTCATAGAAGACACGTGGCTTCCGCCTCACTGTCTCTGGGGTCACTAACGCTGGGAAACCAGCTACATCCTACAGACACTTTAAGATACAAATGCTTGCGGGTTTAAGCCATATTGTGAGGACGCTCAAGCAGCCCTGCAGAGGCCCAAAGAGTGAGAACAGGCCTCCTGCCAAGAGCCACACCACTGAGCTTGGAAGCGATGACTCCAGCCCCAGTCAAGTTTCAGATGATCATGGCCACAGCCGACATGGCGATGACTCATGAGGGATCCTGAACCAGGACACCCAGATGAGCTGCTCCTACATTCCCATCCTACAGAAACTTTAAGATACAAATGTTTGCGGGTTTAAGCTAACTTTGGGGGCAATTTGTTACGCAGCAACATGTAACGATTACAGTCTGGTTTTACTCACAAGTCCCTTGTGCAGAGCTGTCCTCCTTTCTCTCACAAAGAGACGGCAGATGCATTTCCATTTTATCAAGCACCACCCTTGGCCCCCGCCACCACTCTGGTCAGGGTGCCGCCATGGGCGCTGTCCTACCTGACTTGTCGTGGACAATGGAGAAGAGAATGCGCTTAGAGGCATGGACGTTCTGAATGAGAGGCCCACCAGGCCCGGTGGGCTTCTGTCCTGGACAAGGAAAAGGAAAGGTACAGGTTCGAGCTGGGCCCCAAGAGGGGTCCCCAGATCTGGCTGTGGAGCACAGGCACTGGCTCTGGGGTAACAAGGTCACCCAACACAAACACCCCAGAACTGAGTCCTGTATTCACGAACTCTAGGCAAGTTCTCTAACCAGAGGCCTGAGACATTCTGCTACCCAAATGGCAGATCAGGGAGGGCAGGACGTCTGAGGTCACATTTACAGGTGGGGACAAAACAGGCATGTGAATCCCAGCCCCCTGCTCAGCCAACACATTTGCCTGTGTGTGGGCGTCCTTTTGTTTCCTTATAACTAGAGGCCCGATGCACAACAATTCGTGCAAGAGTAGGCCTTCCTTCCCCCAGCTGCCGGCACCGGCTTCCCTCCCCCGGCCGCCGGCAGGCACCCAGGACCCGGGCTGGCTTCCCTCCAGCCCCGGCTTTGTCAGGAAGGATGTCCAGTCTAATTAGCATATTACCCTTCTATTATTATAGAAGATAGCTAATAAACATAACTTTTAAGCACCTACTATGTGACAGCAGTTCTCAAACTTGAGCTTACATTGGAACCACTTAGTGGATTTGTCAATTTGCAGACAGCTGGGCCTCGCCCCCAAAGCTTCAGACTCAGACAGACTTTGGTGAGGCCTGAGCATGTGCATTTCTAACAAGCTCTGTCATTTAATCATGATCACAACAGCTTGAGGTTGGCACTACTGGCATCTCCATTTTACAGATGAGAAAACTGAGGCTCATAGAGATAAAGATTTGACATTTAGCCACTAAGTAGAGAAGCCAGGATATGAACAAAGTCTTTCTCATATCCAACTGTTGCTTCTCTGATGCTTCCAGTATCCCCAACCCAGTGGGTATATAATAGGTGCTTATTAAATGCATGTGACCAACCATGTTTTCCACAGATTCCTCTGGGAGTCCTCTCGGCTGTCTCTTGGTCCCAGGCCAAGGACACTGTTCACAGAAGGCTGAGTGAAGGCCTGGTGTCTGACTGGGTCTAAGCCAGAATGCCATTTGTCCTGCCCCAGCCCTGTGCCCCGACATTCCTCCTTCAGTTTTGGGAGGGCCTGAACACCCTGACATGCCCTAGAAGGTGCCCTATGTGAGCAATCTCTGTCCCACCCCCAGACATGGGGCCCCCAGCAGAAGCTTACCACAGCAGTCAGAGAAGTCTTGGGCAGTGGGAGTCTTGGACTCAGGCCCAGGCCGGCTGAGGCCCAGGTCACTGGGGGCAAGTGGGTAGGTGGGCACCTCCTGCTTGAGCTCTCTCACAGCGTGGTTGGGGAGTGCAGTGCTGTACAGGAAGCTGGCCATGGAGGAGGAAGTGGCGCTGGGGGGCAGGTCCTGGGGTGGCCCCTTGGGGGCCTGGCCATGCAGGCCACAGTCCCGAGACCCCTTGGTTATCAGGGAGACACCGTTCAGCTCCACCAGGGCCTTTGAATCCCGACCGCCATCCTCAAGTGGCCTGGGTAAAGGAGACAAGGACACACAACAGCTTTGTGCACCTGTCCGCTGGCTACATCTCTTCTGCAGCCCCTCAGCCCTCCTTCCGCAGAACACGACAGCCTGTGAGGTACACAGGACAGGAGTCATCCCCCATTCTACGGGTGGGGGTGCAGGCCTGGGGTGGGGCGTGATGTGCCCAGGGCCACATGGCTGGGCGACCGGAGAAGCCAGGCCCGGCCCTCCGCCCCTGTGTCCCAGTGCACCAACGGTGTCCTTTCAGCTGCACCTCCCATTGCACCCCTCTCTTCCTGGCCCGTGTGCTGACAGTGGGGCTGGAGCACTGATGGCCCTTGGTCTGCCTTGCCACCTCCACTCTGCCCGGCCATCCCTGGAGTCTGCAGTGCTGCCGGTGCTACTTCCCCCAACCAAGTCTCTTCCAGCCTCTTTGCAACTCAGGGGTCCCCTGGGAGGCCTTCCTGGCTCAGGTAACACTCCATGATGGCATTTCTGCCTCACCTCCACCATCAGACTGGCAGCTTTTACAACCAGGGTCCCCTGTGGGGATCTGAAGTGACCACATGGGGCTGAGCCAGCATGGAAGCAGGTCACCCTCCTAGCCTTTCCTGGCCCAGCCCTTATGGCCCAGCCACCAGACCCTGACCCCCTCCCAGGCAGGCGGCCTCACTCACCTCTTGAGCTTGAAGCGGATACGGTGGCTGTGCTCCAGGATGGCCATGAGGGCCTTGGGGTCATACTCAGCCGGCCTCCGGAAGGCCAGGCCCTCGGGCAGCCCCTGCACGGCAAGCAGCCCAGGCTCCCTGAGTAGCCTCTCATAGGGTAGCGGCACCACGCTGGCCCTTCCCAGGGCCTCGCCTGTGGGAGGAGGGATCGAGGAGAGGGTCTAGTGTGAGAGGGCAGCCAGGATGGGTGGGGGCCAGGCGTGCTCCAGAGCTGGGGCCATGCTGAGTGACTTTCCTTGGTGCTGGGTTCCCAGGAAATAAGAACTAAATCAGTTCCTTAAATGCAGATTTCACACAGAATAACCCCAGAGGCTGGTGAGTGGGGGCTGTGGGTCAGGACTCATTGTCTGAGGGCCAGGGCTACCCATTGAGGCATCTGGGTGGAGGGAAAAGCAGGCATGGGGCTGTGGGCACGAGGTGAGGAGGGGTGAGAGAGATGAGAGAGAAAAAAGAGGGCATGAGAGAGATTGCAAGGAAAAAGCCATAGGGAGGAAGGGAGAGGAGAATGAGAGGGAGAGAAAGTAAGGAAGACAGGAAATAGAGAGGAAACAGAAAGAGGGGATTCAGAAAGAGAGGAGAGACAGGCTGAGAAGATGGAAAGGATGAAGGGAGGGGTGAGTAGAGGGGAGCCTGGCAGGGAACCCTTAAACAGCCAGGGCCTAGAGGCCTGGGCTCAGAAACATCTGTTGTTGCCTCTATGCGACAGCCCTCACCTCAGTGCCACCTCTGATTCTGCTCAAGGTGGGGGAGGGGGCCAGGGCAGAGTGGGCAGGGGCAGAGGGGACTCTGGGCACGAACCCTGCAGCTGGCCAAAGTGTCTGCAGTGGCGTAGTCCACCACGAGTGACAAGTCCTCGTGTCCCAGGATGGCCAGTGTGCTTACGTAGGACCTCCGGGCCCCATCTCCCTGCCTGGCCTCCTCCTCCCGACATTTAAACAACAGCAGGCGCTCCCTCACAGACCTTTGCTCCACAGAACCCAAGAGGAATGGGGAAAGGCACAAAGTGAGTCAGAAATAAACGAGGTAGGGCCTGCCCACGGTCACCTGGGGAGTGTGAAGGCTACCCCTGGGCCCTGACTCTGCAGCCTGACCCTTTCCAAGAAAGGCCAGGCCTGTCCCTCCCCAGCCCCGGAGGAAAGACTTGGCTGCCAGGTAGCCTTCCCTCAGTCTTTCCACAAATGCCCCCTGAACCCTGCTGCTGCTGGGCCTGACCTGCAGGCTGGGACCACAGGAACGGCAGGCACATCCCTGGCCCAGCTGAGAGCAGCTGCCTGGTGAGGGGAGCGGGCACAGTGGGTATCCAGAGGGGGCCCCAACCAGTCTGTGGGGGCTTCCTGGAGCTGAGCCTTAGAGTAACACAGTCTCCACCATACAGAGGAGAAGGCAGCCCCCAAGGGCACAGTGGTGCAAAGGCGAGGGGGCGTGAAATGGAGCCAGGGTGTGCTGGAGAACAGGAAGTGGCTCAGGAGGTAGGTCAGCCCGGCCGGCCCAGCTGGAGAAGTGGGCGGGGAGGGGCTGTGGTGGGTACTCCAGCCACACTGAAGGTACAGCCTAACCCTTTCCCCTGACAGGGCACCCCCAAAGGAAGTGCAGGAAAGAGCATGGTCAGACTTGTGCTTTAGAAAGATGCCCTTGGTCACAGGTGAGGAGGCCTGGGGCCATTTCTGGGTGAGAGGTGGCGGTGACCACCAGGGCCTGGGCAGGGGTAGAGGGGATGGTGGGTGAGGACACGGGCTGGGGTGGAAGATCCATGCCTAGAGCTGCGGGAGGAAGGAGAGCTGCACTGCAGTGCTGCCTAGGGTACATAGTGGGGCAGAAGGGAGCCTCCTCATCTGAGTGGGGACCAGGGCTCCCACCCGCCTGGGGCCCCCAAATGGAATGAGGAAGGATCTTACTATAAAGAACATCAAACACCTCCTCTACCATCTTCCGCAGAAGGTACACATCTGAGCCATGCTCCAGGGTGGACCGAGGGATATTCCGGCCGCCAGCCTCACCCCGAGGCACCCTCTTGTGGTGCTCTGCCTCCGGCTCCTTCCACGGGGGTCCTCCTGTGGGACACAGAGCATACGGAGGGGTGGTGAGCACCCATCTCACCACCTGCCCAGGGAGCTGGGCTGTCCCTGCCCTGTGCTGAGCTCCGCAGCGGGGCACCCAACACAAAGTGCAAATGAATGAGTGAATGAGTGAATGAATGAATGAAGAATTAATGAGTGAGCAAACCCTGCGAAGGGCCAGGCTAGTCATGGGGCCTGGGTCTCATCCCTGGCCACCCCTAACCTGCTGTGTGGCCGTATGTAAGTCTCTTTCCTCTCTGGGCCTCAGTTTGTGAGCTCTCCCTGGAGACCAGCTGGCCTGGCTCAGAACTGGGGTCCAACGAATGTCTATTCCATCTGTCTCTGTGCTCTGACACTCACGCTCCATTTTAAACGATCGAGGCCCCGTTTTCTGCTCTGCCAAGTGGGGAGATGATGACCCCACCAGGGGGCTGAGAGGCTTTTAAGAGGCAGGTTCGTGCAAGGCTGGGCTAGGGCGGAGGCTCCGGCGGGTCAGTGGGTCCCTGGGTGGGGAAGCTGCGGGAAACAGTGCAGGAAAGGAGGCGAGAGGAGAGTCCAGAGGCCCCCTCCCAGCTTGCAGCTTGCTCTCCTCCGAGGAGCTGTGACGCTTGAAATAAACCAGCCCGAGTTCCCGGTGCTATAAATAGTGGCTCTGCCTGGCTCGGCGAAGCCAGGTGCACCTTCATCAGGCCCCAGTCTGGCTTCCAGCCTGGCCAACTGGGGACCACAGACCCTGCTACTGCCCACCCGACCCGACCTCGGCCCCCTGTCCTCCCTTGGAGAGGGTGCAGGCACTGAGGGCTGAGTGGGATGGGGAGGCTGGGGAAGCGGCTGGACCCCAGGAATGATATATCCAATGCTAAGGGACGGCTTTCCCTGAAATGGCTGATCCCAGGGTCCAGTCCTGGGGTGTAAGGAAAACGCTATACTGGCCAGACAACTGCTGGCATTCACTGAGTGTAAACTAAGTGCCAGGCATTGCTCTAAGTGCTTGCTATGTATTAATTCATTTAATCCTCAGATCGGCCTGTGAGGAGGGGAGCACTGTTCTCCCCTTTCACAGATGAGGAGGTTGAGGCCCAGGTAGCAGGTGGCAGGGTCAGAATGTGGCCCCAGGTGTCTGACTCCAGGGCCAACCCTTAACTCAAGAGCTCTGAGTCCCAAACTGTGGGCTCGAATGCTCGATTCAGTGCTAGCCTTCAGTGCTGGGGCCAGGCCCTAATCCTGTAGGACCCAAGAATCCACCAGAAAGGTGAAGGTGACCTCCCCCAGCTTACTGCCAAGCTGGGGCACCAGGCGCAGATGGAAATTTAGGGCAGAGGGGGCTGGCGTGGTGTGGGGAGCAACCACAGCAAAGGTTCAAGGGATGGAGGGGCCTAAATGCGGCCTGGGGCAGGAGGCTGGGCAGACACCTGCCAGGGAGAGGAGAGGATGAGGACCTTCCAGGTGGGACAGAGGCAGAGATGGGAAGGGAGACAGGGCTGATGAACTAGCAGGAAGCGCAGCGCAGCCGGGGTAAGTACAAGAAACGCCAGGAGGTGAGATGCAGAGGCAGGGCCTGGGTTAGGAGGGGCCTAAGGTTCAAGTAGCGTTGAAGGGTTGGGGGCCTCAGAACGACTCCTCTGTCTCAGGGGTTTCTGGCTCACAGCCCTGAATGTCGGTCTCTGTTGAGAGCAACGCAAACCCCGTGGCAGGGCTCTTGGGGTGCCCGTGCCACATCTCCCGATTCTGAAGGAGTGTTGTGGGGAGCCGATACAGGGTTAATTTAAGCCTCGGACTGACCTCTTAGCAAAATCACAAACAAGTCTTCTTCCGAGTCTTAAACAGCCCAATCCGAGAGGCAGCCGCTGATTTACACGCACTGTCATTTAAAAAATAAAAATGGGGGAATTTGCCAGAAGCTGGTGCACCCTTGCTGCTTGACACAGTTGCTGCAGGGAAGAAACATCTGCACAGCTTATGTTTCAAGGGATCTGGCGTATATGGCATAGGTTTGCTCCCCCTCTTAGCGCTATGTGTTTTAAACAGGACCACCTCCCCGAGAAAGGTTGTTCCCCCAGTTTAGGGATTAACAGGACTAAGGAAGAGAATAAATCAGTGAAACCCCCTAGTGCTACAGAAATACCATGTACTGCTTATGAAGAACTTGGACTAAGACTGTTGGCAATAAATTTGGGACTTGTTGGGCCCACATCCCCAGGGGTCTGCCCACCAGGGAAAGCACCAAAGCCTATACCCCTGGAGCCCCACTGACACAGGGCAGTCCCAGGGAAGGCAAGCAGCGAGGCTGGGAGGACATAACCTTTCCTGGGTAGGATAATCTCCTTCAGTCACTTCCTTGTAGCTTATCAGTAGAACATCGACCTTGGAATAGCCCTTATAATGGAACACAGAGATTAACCTAGACAGGATTAAACTCAACAGAACTAGATTAACAAACGCCCTAACCTTTGGAATAGAATGGATAGGATTAAAATCAACTGGTATAAATACAGATGTAACAGGACAATAAACGCAGACCCTGGCTAGAGAACCTCGCTATCATGATCAACTGAACGCTGCCTCCATGTCCTTCATTCTTCACTGACTCTGTCCACACCTATGGGAACCCCTGGACCTGCTGGGGCTGGACCCCAACAGAGTGTAGCAGAAAGAGCATGGGTTTCAGGCCTGGCCTCAGATCCTGCCTCACTCACTCGTCGGCTATGGCCCTGGGGAAGTGGCTTATGCTCACGGAGTCTGTTTCTCACTTGTGAACCAGGGGTAACTGTAACTGTGCCCTAAGCCTGCTGGGAAAAGTAAACAGTAGCAGTAGGTGCAGGGCCAGAGCACAATTTGTCAGAGCAGTACTAACTGCTCCCATTTACCGAGCATTTCCTGTGTGCCACTGTACGTGTCCTGTCACTCCATCCCCGAGCCACCAGGAGGTGGCTCAAGATTATGTTACTATGACAATGACAGTGCCTACCTCATAAGGTTGACGTCAAGATAAATGTGTTGGCATTGTGAAGGGTGTCGCATACAGCAGGCGCTCAGCAAGTATTAAACAAGTGTGCTCAGCCTCTGTGTCAGGGACGCACAAGAACTGGACAACACTGGGCCTCAGTGTCCCCTTCTGTCAATAAGCCGATGGGGCTGGCTGGCCCTCGGGTTCAGTCACCCAGGCTCTACCAACCGAGGGGCTGCTGTATGATTCCAACTAAAATGGGGGCTGCCCCTGATAACGCCAAGTCGGGAAGCCTGCACAACCCCCTCCTGTCCAGGGCGTCCCCCCACAGAGTCACCCAGTGTTTTTCTGGGGACCCAATACCCTGGCCCTGCCCAGTCCCGGGGTACTCACGGCAGAACCTGAGGAAGTCTGATTGCAGCTCCTTCCGCGCGGTCAGAAACATTCTCCCCTTCTCGGTGCCCACCACGAAGGCGCTCTCATCATGCACAGCGACACAGGCCACCTCTGCGTTCAGCTTGGAGAGCGCCGAGCACTACAGGGGGAGCAGGGTACGTGAGCCGGGGGAAGGCCCCCCAGCCCCGCACACCTTCATGCAGCTTTGGGGTGGGATGTGAGTTCCCACCAGCAGCTCCAGGGAGCAGTGGCTCCTCCAACATTCTCAGTCTTAGAATCTGCAGGGGAATCAATGAATGACCTGGCCGCTCCGCCCCCATCCCTAACCCTAACCCTAACCCACCCCCTTCCGAACTTGGCCACAGTCAGGGGGAGAAGATAAGTTTACGGAGGCTGGAGGAAGACCAAAGGCACAAGGCCTTTGCCCTTCCTTCTTCCCAGGTCCTCCTTGCTCTGGGGTGGGCTTCCTCTGTTAGGCCCGGACCCAGCCCCAGGGACAATCCTGTCCTGGACTCTCCACGCCCTGGATGAGGAAAAGGTAGGATGGGCCCCAGGAGAACCAAGGCTCAGACAGATCTAGGCTTCAATCCCACTTCAGCCACTTCCTGTTGTGGGACTGGGGCAGTCACACCCCTCACAGGGCCCGTTTCCAAATCTGTAGAATGGAGACAAGCAGCCCAGCTCGAAGGGTTTCAATGGGTTTGGTTGTGGGGATTCAAGGAGGCCTTGTTGGCGGGAAAGAATTTCTAAACTGGGCATCCACGTGGACATCCGGGCAAAGAGGTATTCTGCAGCCCTAGAGTTGAGGTTGGCGGGCTCACTGCAAGGGGAGCCCTAACACAGGGGACCCTCAACCAAGACCACTAACGTCTCAGGCCTCTGACCTATCTCACCAGGAAAACGCTGCCTGTAACTTTCAGCATGCAGTTGGTGCCTGATAAAGGCTGGTTTTTCTGAGTTAGGTAGTGCTTTGCTGACAGTCAGGAAATCTGGCTTCTCATCTCAGTTCTGCTGCTGTGTGACCTAGACATGTTCCTCACCCTCTCTGGGCCATAACCATGCCTCTTGTCCAGCTCCATCCTGGAGTTGCTCTGGTGAGAAGCTGGGACATTGCAGGGCCAGCAGGCCTGTCCCCACTGATGCCCTATTGAAGGGGGTGGGGGGGTTGTTTTCTGCTAAGATTAAAACAAAACCTGCCACTCCCTTTCCCCACAGCAACACTGCAGGATATTAACAAACAAGACAAACAGATCTGGTTGTCTCTAACAAAGGAGTGGCTGCCAGAGTTGGAGGAGATCCCTGTGGTGTGGTCACTTCTTAGCTGAAGGAGCTGAGGCCCCGGCAGGGAATCGACTCACCCAAAGGCACCAAGAATGGGGGCCGTGAGGAAATGCCTGGGGGAGGGGCTGAAGAGGGGTGGGGCGGGTGGTGGTGATGGACAGCACTTGCCCACACCCCTGCGGACCCTGAGGAGCCTGGCTCCAAGCCCTGAAGGATCAGAGTTCAGTCACTTCCAAGCAGGTGCCTTGTCACCCAAGAAGGTCCCTCAGAAAACCCGGTAAGGGCCCAAGGGCTGGGGGAGCTTGTCTTCGACATGTCACCAGGCTAGCTAGAGCCATCAGCTCCTCCAAGCCCCACGGAGCCTCGGAAAACCCTCTGGACCAGCGCTGTCCAATAGCATTTTCTGCCGTGATAGAGATATTCTGTTTCTGCCCTGTCCAATGCCATGGCCACTCGCCTCATGTGGCCACTGAGCACTTGAAATGAGGCTAGTGCGCCTGAGCAACTGAAGTGTTTACTGTATTTAATTTTACCTAGTTACAATTTAAATGGCAATGGCCTCTTGTGGCAAGTGGCTGTGGTGATGGCCATCAGTGCCTGTGTCAGCTGCGCTTCCACCACCACCAGGCTAATACTGCTGCAGGGCACGGGCGGCTCCCTCCTCATGAAGGCGGCTCTGCACAGGGCAGGGGTTGCACCCAGCCGCCTTACCCGGGGTGCTGCTGCCTCTGGCCCAACACCACCTACGCGGCTCTAGAACCGCCTATAGCAGAACAGCCTGGAAGGAGGCCCTTTGTCGTAGGGAACTGAAGACTTTGCACCCGAATCCACTTCAAAAACTGGTCATACTGTGTGGCTTCAGGTAAGGGGGTGCTCTCTCTGAATTTCAACTTCACCATCCTAAAATGCAGATTAAAAAAAACACCTGCCTACCCTCCATCATAGAACTTTCCCCGGAAAAGATAGAGGAAAATTATATTATTATTTTCTCATTTGAGGTAAACTGCTATAGGCTTACATATGTAGGCAACGGTGCCAGCAGAGTAGTAATTTATGAAGTCCTGTTTCTCTCTTCCAGCCCCAAGATGCAGCGACAGCTCTCTAACGAATCACTGCCCACACATTATCTTCCAGGTGCTGGGAGGGAGGCTTGTGACCATGCCAGGGAGGAGGCCTTGAAAAAGACTTAATGAAACGAGGAGCAGGGGATGAGGACTGGGGCCAGCCTTTATTTCCAGGACTGGATGTTTATGTACTTAATCTCACTTGAGCTTCTCGTCCCCTGACGTAGGCAGAGGAGAACTTGAGCTCCAACGTCTGGTTGTAAAGCTGTGTGTCCCACTCCCGGGGGTGGGCTGGGTACTCACCATGGAATCTAAGGCAGACACAAGGCTGGTGATGATCTCGTCTTTGCGGGCGAAGGCGGAGTTCCAGCGGTCAGGCCCACAGCCATTGGTGGGGACGTCACAGCGCTTCCCCAGCAAGGCCATGGTCACCTGGATAGAGAGAGGGAGCAGACAGAGGTGGGTGTGCGCCACGGCGAGTGGAACACGTGGTAGGGACCTATCCCAACTGGCTTGGCCCCAGACCTCAGGGCTGTTTCTACTTCCCACGTGGGACAAGTCAAGAGCTGGCCTTCTCTTCTCCTAAGGGTCTTATATGAAGATGGAATCAGAGCCTTGACAGACCTGGACACGCAGCGGCTCGCATGTGGCCTGTACAGGCGTGGCACAGGTGGCAAGATAATGGAGACATGTGCCCCAGATACATCCCCAAGTCTGCAGCCTCAGAGCTGAGTCCAGAACTATGACCAGTCTGTCCAGCAACCCAACCATCAACTCTCCCCATACACACTGCTCTGGCTATAGTTCTCTCTTGCTCACACACCCTATGTGGCTCCCTACTGCCCACAGTTCTGGACTCAGCTTGGTATTCAAGGTTCCTGGTCCAGACACCCATGTTCCAGGTATTCTAGGTGTCATCATCCCCCAAATATACCCACATTCTTTAAAAAAAATTTTTTTTTATTGATTTCAGAGAGGAAGGGAAAGGGAGAGAGATAAGAACATCAATGATGAGAGAGAATCATTGACTGGCTGCCTTCCTGCATGCCCCACACTGGGGATCGAGCCCACAACCGGGCATGTGCCCTGACTGGGAATCGAACCGTGACCTCCTGGTTCATAGGCCAACGCTCAACCATCGCACCTTGCTGGCTGGGCAACGTGCCCACATTCTTGTGGCTCCCCAGCTGTCACAGGTCCCACTCTCCCTGCCCCGAGTGCCTTTCCTGGCCCCTTCGTCATCTATTGACTGCCTGCTCAGCTTTTAATTGTTGCCTCTGCTGTGAAGGTACCCCCTCTCACCCCACTTCCTGCCCTCTCCTGCCCCAGCTACCCTTGCTGTCCTCCCACACATCCCCGAGCTCCTCCATCACAGCTCTGCATCAAGCCACCAGCTCCGAGGGGAAGGCCACTGCTCCGAGGCCTCTGATCCACAGTCTGCTTCCTGGCGGTCAGGACTCAGTCTCAGAGATACAGAGGTTGCTTCATCTCAGACCTGGGTTTCTCACACACAGGACTTTGTCCCCTCGTCAAAAGGCTCCTGGAGAACAGAGCTGCATTCTCCCCGTCTCTGGGGCACCCTCAGACCAGGGCTCCCCCATCAGAAATTCCCTAGGCAGGAAACTGGCCTGCCGCCCCTGTACCACCCAGCCTGGTCCGGGCACCCACTAGATGCAAAGGTCAGCCTCCCTCAGTCCCTGTCCCACCTGCCCTTCCCCTTCCAGACCCCAGGAAACACATCCGGGGGCCCACCCACAGGCTGCGGGCCTTGGGGGGCGTTTGTAGATCCGGCCTCCTTATGTCCAGCAGTTCGGGGTGAAGGAGTCTGTGTACATGACTAGGGATGGGGCGGGGGCGGGAACCAGCACTGGGCGGGTGAAAGCTGGGTCTGGCACCTTAAAGGGTGCCAAGCCTGGAGTACCTTCTATCAGTGCAGCTACTCCTGGACCTTAAGCTCTGTGAGGACAGGGACCAGTCTGCCTGTCACCGCTGCACTCCCAGGGCACAGTTCAGAGCTGGACATACACGATGGACCAAGGACTGTGGCCTTTAAGTGGCTCATAACGTCGATGACATAGAAGAGCAAATGTCCGAGTGTGTCACATACAACAAGGTGAGAGGTGTCGGACTTCAGTTACGGAAACATTCAAAGGAATTAGGGCTGCATCAGAGCTTGGCTCTGGCCTCAGTCTTGGCCTGAGTCTGCTGTTGGCTGTGGATAAATATTGATTTTAACAACTGGCCAGTCAGCAGTTGGCCAAAATGTATATTGGGTTCACTTCTAAATGTTTATTAAATGTATTTCTTCCCCTAGGTTGCAATCTGATAGACGTTCAAAATCCACAGTGTTAAGGATGCCGAGCGTAGAACAGGCCATGAATAAGGCGTGCTAATGGACCAAGAGGCAGCAAGCACCAGGGCCAGGGGCCTTCTGGGGCACGACCCGCTGAGAGGTTCGCCTGTCTGGGCTGCTTGTCCCCTCCCTCAGCCACCCCCGCTTGCCAGTCCCTTGGGCCATTCCCAGAAAGGCCTCTGGCTGCCAGCCTCCCAGCTGCTGAGTCCAAATCAAATCAGGGCAAAGGAGGAGGCACCAGACAGCGCTCCAGCCCTGGCCTCCAGGTCGCCCCAGCCGGCTGCGGCTCCTAATCCATTTAGGAAGGATCCAGGGAGTCAGAGAGGGAGGGGTGATGGAGGGAGTGAAGGGAGGCTGGGCTGGGGGCCAGCCCCTGACTCCTTGTCTTGGCTATTTGGGCTCCTAGGAGCCTCTGTCCTAAGCCGAGGAGGCCCAGCCTTGTGTTCGGGCACGAAGGAGAGAGAAGATCCTCCTGCAAACTCCTGGGCCTCTGAGAAGGGCGGGTCCATGGGGCTGGAGCTGCTGCGGCTGGGCTGGGAGCCATGAGCCATGACTCCTGCACACAGGAGACCCAGACTCAGGTCTGCTGGGACCACATCAGATCAACCACGTAAACGGGGGGTAGTTCTAAACTGAAAATGAGAGAAGGGAGAAAATCACCCAATAAAACCAAAAAACTATACAGAACAGAACACAAAGTATGACAGGCAGTTCACAGGAGGCACGTGCCCAAGCCTAAACAGGAGCAACGTCCCCGGAGGAGGGGACAGTGAGAACTGAGGCGGCGGCCTGAGCCATCACACACCGGTAAACAGAGGACGGGGCCAGGTGAGGAGCGAGGCTGGAGACGCCCGAGTGCCACTCTGTGGTACCTGGAGAGGACACCAGAAGTGACACCAGAGCAATGGGCAGCTGGCCCTGACCTGGGCACAAGTGGCCAGGAAGCCCTCAGTGACAAGGGACTCCCAGCCCCGCTGGGTTCCTGGGTGGGCAAGGACCGTAAGGGTCTAGAGGCAGGCAGGGAGACCGTGAGCACCCGCTCCATCCTCAAACACCTCCCGCAGCTGCCAGGGCGCCACACACCTGGTTTTCCTCCCACCTCCTGGGCATTCCCCTCCTGGCACTGACTGCCAAGCGCTAGTGGGTCCGGGGGCCCTCTCCCCTTCCCTGTCCAACACCCTCCCTCACTGCTGGGCAATCTCTTGGCTTTAAATGTCACATATGTGCTGGTGACTCTCGATTTCTCTCTCACGTCTCCTGAGATGCCGCCTCCAGCCTGCCTCCTCCACTACTCTTCACTCTTCACCATCCAACGAGGAACTCACAGGGAGCACAGTGCGTGTTTCTCGCTCAGATCTGCTTCCCTCTGGTCATCCACCCAGGCTGGAACCGAGGCCTCATCCCAGAGTCCCCTCTCTGTCACTTCTAAAACAGCCAGGGGCAAGTCTCGCTGCTCGGCTCCAGAAACCACCCACGTCTGTCCACCCCTCACCTGCCACCCAGGCCACCATCCTCGCTTACCCACACCCGGCAATGGCCTTCTCACTGGCCCCTGCCCTTCTGTGCTCCCCCCTGCCCCAGTCCCTCCTGTAAACAGCAGCCACCTCGATCCCATGCCGCTCTCCTGCTTAGAAGCTTGTTTCCCCCCCACCCCCCGCCCACTGTCCACAGCAGGGGTCCTCAAACTTTTTAAACAGGGGGCAGTTGGAGGGCCAGGCTATAGTTTAAAAAAACACTATGAACAAATTCCTATGCACACAGCGGCAGCAAAAACACCCGGCCGGCCGGATAAATGTTTCTGGCGGGCCGCATGTGGCCCGCGGGCCGTAGGTTGAGGACCCCTGCTCCACAGAATGGAAAGCAACCTCCTTTCACTGCAGGTCCCGCATGTCCTGGGCCCACCTAGGGCCTCCGATGCACGTTCCTCCCGGCGGAAGGCCGTTCCAGGTCTCCATCTCCTCCCACTGCCTCCTTTGCCCACCACGCCTCTGCCCCATCACCAGCTCCTGGGAACCTCCCTTGACCATGAAGCCACAGCGGCAGTCCCCACCCCGTACACTCATTCATGTCTTCCCTTATTGTCTTCAAGGATCTGAATGACTTGTTTGGGAGCTTCTCGCCCGATTTCCCCAACTAGAATGTGAGCTCTGCGTGGCCAGAGCTCTCGAATTTACCGTATCCCCACTGTCTTGAACGCTGCTTGGGGTTTCATGGGCACTCAACAAGTACTCAAGAACTAACAAGTATGACAGTCGGCCGGCCACTTCAGGTGGGAGCCAGGACATCTGCAAGCTATGAGCAGAGTGTCTGACAACTTTGGCTTGTCTGGCTCTCAAAAAACGAAAGGTGCCTGGCCGCTGTGGCTCAGTGGTTGAGGGTTGACCTATGAACCAGGAGGTCAAGGGTTTGATTCCTAGTCAGGGCACATGCCTGGGCTGCAGGCTTGATCCCTAGTAGGGGGTGTGCAGGAGGCAGCTGATCAATGTTTCTCTCTCGCTCTCTCTCTCTTTCTCCCCTCCTCTCTCTGAAATCAATAAAAAACATTTAAACTCTCCCCACCCCCGGCCCCGCCCCCACCAAAAAAAATACCAAGAGGCAGTCTGAGAGATTGCAACTCTGGCCACAGTTAGCTCATGGAGGAGCAGTCCTGGGATGGAAAGGGAGGGAGGCTTCCGGGTCAGACACGTGTCCTGGACAGGTGCTCTTCCAAGATGGTCCCAGGCCTGCAGGCCTGCAGCACTGGCAACACCCAGACAGCCATCAGAATGTCTGGGGTGAAGCATCACTGTGTGTGAGTATGAAAGGACTTGCCTAAGACCCCCAGCCACTGGGTAGTGGGGATGAGGTCTGTCCTTGTCTGTCTGTCCCTAAGCTTGGTCTTTCCTATTGGGAGGACTCCTCCTGCCACTCGCCAGAACATGGGGAACAGGAAGACCAGGTGATCAAATCCACAGCTGTCCCTCAACCAGGTTGACCAACTCGCCCCGATTCACCTGGGACTTCCCTGGGTTTAGCCCAGAAACCTGTTAGTCCCGGGCAAAGCAGGTGGTTGGTCACTCTACCACACAGACAGGGACCA